CATTAACTCGAATACGCTGGATAGCTTCAAACATAGGTTGGATGGATATATGAGCAATAGGGGTTTGGTGTAAATGGGACTGCCCAGTATGGACCAATAGGCCCGCTGCAGTTTCCTCCATTCTTATGTTCTTGCACGGCAGTTCACACCTCGTGCTTCTTTTAGGATTACGGGACCAGCTTCGTCGACTCCAGGGTCAACTGTCATGTTTTTGTTTTTGTTTTTTTTCTTGGTGCTTGTTGAGTCTCTTATAGTGTTCTGTTGTGTTCGTTGTTAGTGTTCTGTTGTGTTCGTTGTTAGTGTTCTGTTGTGTTCGTTGTTAGTGTTCTTTTTGTGTTCGTTGTTAGTGTTCTGTTGTGTTCGTTGTTAGTGTTCTGTTGTGTTCGTTGTTAGTGTTCTGTTGTGTTCGTTGTTAGTGTTCTGTTGTGTTCTTTTTGTGTTCGTTGTTAGTGTTCGGCTGTGTGCGTTATTAGTGATCTGTTGTGTTCGTTGTTAGTGTTCTATTGTGTTCGTTGTTAGCTTTGTGTTCGTTATTAGTGTTCTATTGTGTTCGTTGTTAGTGTCCTGCTGTGTGCGTTATTAGTGTCCTGCTGTGTGCGTTATTAGTGTTCGGCTGTGTGCATTATTAGTGTTCGGCTGTGTGCATTATTAGTGTTCGGCTGTGCGTTATTAGTGTTCTTTATTAGTGTTCTGTGTGTTAGTGTTCGGCTGTGTGCGTTATTAGTGATCTGTTGTGTTCGTTGTTAGCTTTGTGTTCGTTATTAGTGTTCTATTGTGTTCGTTGTTAGAGTTGTGTTCGTTATTAGTGTTCTGTTGTGTTCGTTGTTAGTGTCCTTCTGTGTGCGTTATTAGTGTTCGGCTGTGTGCGTTATTAGTGTTCGGCTGTGTTCGTTATTAGTGTCCTGCTGTGTGCGTTATTAGTGTCCTGCTGTGTTGTTAGTGTTCGGCTGTGTGCGTTATTAGTGTCCTGCTGTGTGCGTTATTAGTGTCCTGCTGTGTGCGTTATTAGTGTTCTTCGTGACATAATTTCATATCACGTCATTTGTTTGAATAAATTAAGAAACAGAAATGTGTTTATATTTCCTTGAGTAATATAATAATAATGAGTCCCAGTAATACGTAGATGGATAGGTATAAGGTTGAACTACGTATGGTTTGATAGGTTAGGTTAGGGTTGGTTTGGTTTGGTTAGGTTAGGTTGGATTAGGTTTGGTTAGGTTATATTTGAATATTCAGTCAAGGCAGAGTGGTATAGTTAGGTTAGGTTAGCTTTTGAGTTTGGTTTGATTTGGTTAGGTCAGGGTTAGGTTAAGTTAGATTATGTTAAGTTAGGATTAGGTTAGGTTAGGGTAAGGTTAGGTTAGGGTACGGTTAACATTTGGGTGTTGAGTAATGACAGAGTGGTATGCTTGGTGATGCTCCTGTGTGGTGTTGACACGGTATGCCACTCGTGTGAGGAATCCATTGTCCTTCTCTTGACTTGTACTTAACTGACCTACTTCCACGGACAAGGGCTTAGGGTGACCCATCTCCCCTTTGACATGGTTCACCGTGTCCTGCACCCTCATGATAATAGGTTGGGGTACTAGGTCTCCTGTGACGTGTTCGAGGATGACCTGTTGAATTGAATTGAATTGAAACAGTTTATTTAGCCAGAAAAACACAGATACAGAGTGGATAATAATAACAATATTAACATGGCTGAGCCAGTTGAGAACCTGAGCTCTCTTTGAGGCACCTGATATATACTGTACATTTATCTCAAGGAAGTATTATGTAACATTTAGTATCATCTGGAATAGTACAATAGCGTGGTGGTAATAAGAACATCTCATAATGTTAACACGGTTATCACTTCAATATTTATTAATTTTATTTATTTATTATTTTTTTTAGTTTATTTTTTATTATATACATGTTTATTGCAATGGTAATTACTTATATCTATTTACATGATAATTTCCGATAAATCGGTTTTGATGGTACAATAAAAGCAGGTACTGTTAATATAGTAGGTGTTACAAGAAATATTAATACTTAGACAATAGATATTTATTAAGAGATGATTTAAAGAAAGGGAGCGTAGTCTTTGCTCGGATGGGTAGGGGTAAGTTGTTCCACACCTTCACACCAAGATATTTTATGGAGGTCTGGGACTGAGAGGAGTGCATGGGGGGTGGTCTTAGTAGCTCTGGGTGCCTTAAGTTGTATCTCTGATTATTCCGGAAGTGGAAATAATTATTGTCAAGCAAGTGATTGATAGATTTGTAAACAAAGAGGGCACAGCAGTAGGTGTTAATATCTTCGAATTTTAAAATTTTCAATATAGCAAATATTTCGTTTGTGTGATCTGTTTTTTTTTTCAAGTAGGTCATTGACCGTACAACTCTCTTTTGTGCAGTAACCAGAGATTGTGTTTTTGAAGAGCCAGAGGCCCCCCATAGTGTGTGACAGTGTATCAGGTGTTGGTAAACAAGATTATGATAGATTTCTTTCATTGCTGTGAGAGTGAGTGACTGTCGAGTGTGATACATGATACCGCACTGTTTATTGACTTTACTGTGAATGGCTTGTATGTGGTTTCTCCAGTTAATTTTCTCATCAACAATAACTCCGAGGAATTTAATATTTTGTTCGCGTTTGAGGACTGTATTACCAAGGTACAGGGGGTCTAAGTCTGGGGTAAGTTTTTCCTTCTCTGAAAGATCGTGTAGTGGGTTTTCTCAAGGTTTAAGGTCAGTTTATTACGTATTACCCAGGTCCTGACTTTAGTTAATTCAGTGTTCATAGTTCTCATCAAAGAATGGAGGTCTGAGTTGCTGGCATAGAGATTACTATCGTCTGCAAATAATTTGTATTTTATAAGTGTGCTGGCATGGACTATGTCGTTTATGTACAACACAAACAGTACTGGACCGAGAATGGAACCTTGGGGGACGCCATACAAGATTGGCGAGGAGTCAGATTGGTGATTATTATAGCAGACATACTGCATCCTGTTGGACAGATTTGAGGTAAACCAATTGTGGGATAGGCCCCTAACGCAGTAATGTTCAAGCTTTGAAAGGAGGATGGTATGGTCGACAGTATCGAAGGCTTTAGAGAGGTCCAAGAATATACAGACTGTGAACTGACTGTCATCAAAGGAATTTAAGATGTCATTAGTAAAGGATAGCAGAGCACTCTCATTCCACCTTCTAGCTCTAAATCCAAACTGGGAGTCTGTAAAGATGTTATTGGCATTGCAGAAGGAATTTAGTCTATTACATGCTAGCTTTTCCAGTATCTTACCCAACGCTGGGAGGACTGATATGGGGCGGTAATTCTTGAAGAGACCTTTGTCCCCAGTACATCAAATTTGTGGGCAATAGAAGATAAACACTGATCTAAAAAGGTATCTAGATGAAGGGGAATACTGCTGATGTTATAGCTAATCAAGGAGAAGGAATGAGGTAGTAGGGACTAGAACTAAACTCGGGAGAGTCAGGAAAGTAATAGTTACAGTTTGGGTTGGTGTAACCCAGTGAGTTTTGTAGAAAGGCATCAGGATCGATATGAGGGAGTATTGTGTCGACACCATGGGTAAAGGGGTGTAACACATACGATCTAGCACATCTAAGGGAATGACACTAGCATCATCATTGTGGGAGCATTGATACTGATTAAGGAACAGCAAAAACTCAGGGTCACTGAGGTGTGAAAGAGGAAGATCTATGAAATTATAATAGTGGAGGGTAACGTACTCACAAGTGCTACAACCAACAGAATTAGGATGACCGGTACTGTTGAGGGTGATTCCCAGATGGAGTGGGAGGTGCTCCTGTCACTCGGTTTTGAGGGTTGCTGGTTTCCACCACAGAGGGTAGACGTGTAGCACTCGAGTTGGCCGGCAGGGGGAGGGGGGGGAACTCCTCAGGTGATAGCGATAGTGGCTGGTGGGTTGGTACAGCTGGTGGGTGAGTGGGCGGGTGTCCACATGACCGATCCCTCACAACAAGGGTTTTATGACTGATCGTCACGTGTTTCTCTTGTTTCCTGGCTTCTTTAAACTGGTCCATTTGCTGTAGACGGGCTTTAGTCGTACCTGGGCAGAGATCTTCGTTGACGAAGATAATGGTGCCTTTCAGTTTACTGCGTTGATAAAACACTTTTTCACGGTCAGAGGGGGATGAGGATTTTGTTATGATGTCGCGGGGAGGAGTTAGGTTTCCCGATGCGTTGAACACGGTCAAGCTTTACTTCAGGAAGTTTAAAATGTTCATTCAGCAGATGACTTGGCCGAACATGACCTCCCTCTCCTAGAAATACCTACCAAGGTCTTTTCATCCCCCAGAAGTATCTACTGATGACCTCCCTCCAGCTTCCGAATCACATCTTGTTGCCTTGACGCACCTTCTTATAATCTTTTCAATTGGCACTTCCTTTAGCCACTTCACGCGCTCTGAAATTGTCGTGGTGATAAGAGTTCGTCGCTGTTACTCATAGGTGACCAATCTGTACCACAACATACCCAAATATCGTAAGAATTTCCGAGACGGATTTAGTTAAGGAAAAGAACTGAGGTATCCTGCCTGGGGGAGGGAGGGATGAAGGGTGGGTCGGATGAGGGGGAGGGTGGGTCGGATGAGGGGGAGGGAGGTAGGGAGGGTTGCCCGTCAGGTGAAAGCACGCATTGTTTACTGACCGGCGGCTCAGTTTATCCGAGTGCCGCGCCCGGACCAAAGGTAAACAAACGGACTGTGTCGGACGCTGCCTCGGGCGTCCGGTTCGTATATTACAAGCCTAGTCTGTACCGTACGGGGCTGCTTTACCCCACTTCAACGCCCCTCAAACATCCTCCCAGGCCCGAGCACTCCAGTGAATGTTCACAGTTCGTTGTATAACCAGCGTAAATGTCCTTCTGCCAGACACTGGCATATCAGTGATGGCAACTGGAGTGCCTGCCTTGAAAGTTTTTTTTGTGTGTGGTGGTGTGGAGTGTGGCACTGGGGGTAAGGTAGCCGGGCCAGGTTGAGGCTGTCAGTCTGCTGGAGTGGCCCTCCGGTGGTGCACCTCACGCTACCCCGCCCTCAGCCCTCCTCACTCCTAACTTTGTGCGTGTGATTACCCGGACGCTACACCCTTACTCTAGTAGGTGTTCACTCACTCCAGTGTGTTCTGACCCTAACTCTGTCTCACTCTAGTGTGCTCATTTCGCCGTACCTCACACTAATAAGTGTGAGAGCCAGAAGCAGGAGAAGTGACATTAAAAATAAACGTGTCTGGTTCGTGAACATTTGTCGTAACGTTTACCGGTGAAAGTTGATCACTGTATAGTGAAAATATTCCCTGAACTGAATATTTATATGTTTTTATTGAAAGATGATCACTGTGCACTGAAAGATGATCACTGCGCACTGAAAGATGATCACTGTGCATTGAAAGATAACTGTGCACAGACATGATCACTGCGTACTGAAGGATGATCACCGTGCACTGAAATATAATCACTGTGTACTGAAATGATCACTGTGCACTGACAGACCACTAAGAGCTCTATGACGTAACTCTTTACTTTACACCCTGTGACGGACACGGGGAGGAGATACGCACCAGGGTGTTACCAGACAGTGTGACCAATTTGTACCCCACGCTGAACTTACGCATTACGCCCGACAACACTGACGAGTATTGAGACCTTGTGTACACCCAGGGCGTCAGTCAGATATGTGGAAGTGGCCTCTCTCTCTCTCTCTCTCTCAGAGGTTAACAGAAAACGTCGTGTGTCTGTCGTCTGTATATGAGTGAGCCAGCTGGGGTTACCCGATAAATTGTGTATGTGTGTGTGTGTGTGTGTGTGTGTGTGTGGGGAGGGGGGGGGAGGGGATTGGTTACTGTGCTTTCATTGCGTAGCTACCAGTTGTCGTAGTATCGGGACAGTTTATACTGCGGGAATTATATACAATGATCAGAGTCATTACAGTAACGATTATCATTATATTGACCATTATCATCGTGAGTTAAAAGTGACTATCATAATATCGAATGAATGGAATGACAATGGATATCAATCACAGTCGTTTAAGTTTATGTATAATTAGATATAAAACAAGTTGAATTCTCCACTACGTGTTGGTAAATACAGTTATAATAAGTCAAACGCATCACCATTCACTTCGCGTCAGTGATATATACAACATGAAGAGAATACGCTGAGTCACCGAGTTTACAATATGCAAGACGTAGTACTATGTTAGCATATTGTACCACGAACATAAACATTCATTTATTTCAGACGAGACCTAACCAACCTAACCAAACCGTAACTTAACGATCCTAAGGTACAGTTTTGGTCAATATTTTGTTGGGTCTGTTGGCTACTTTCGTCTGCTTTAAAAAAAATTCAAACGAATAAATTTTCTAATAATCCTGTTCGCGGTACTTTATTGACATCGAACAATTTTGCTTATTGTGTATATTCCCGGATATTTACGGTGACAGGTTAATATCTCTATATATAGGCACGGATTATAGATCACAAGACGGAATTATCAATGAATAAATCACGACGATAGAGTAATCGGATTATTATAATACTAAAAGGACGTGTCTGTCTGTGAGTGCGTATTTCTGTCTGTTCCATCTGTAGCTCGAAGACGACATCAGTTTAAGAGTCCAGAACCTTTCCTCACATACTACATGGGTCCCAAGGTTAGACACCATAGTACAGTACTGTATGTTGACCATGGAACTCCGGGTGCGGTCTGGGCAAGAACCGAAAATCTTCCCCGACTGAGATATCATCACGGTGATTGTAGGAGGAGGGGAGGGAGGGCAAACTGTGACATTCGGGGTTATACCGTATACCTAACCCGAGCAAAGCGGTCAGTGTTGCTAGTAGAGTAGAAATATATAGGTTAATATAGGTAATAAATATATATTGAACAACCGGATAAATATAGTTTGAATCGATATCAGATGCTCCGATTAGTACATTAAACTGCTAAGATGAAATACTCGGATTAATGAAAACTAAATTACTAAGGTTTATTACCCTGATCTTGTCAATATCGATAAAGATAAAATCAATCTACTTAAATCACTAAAATATACTGTAGTTCCCATAACTATAGTGGTAAGACTGGGATGCCCTCCCCCTGACCACCCAGTTGGGAAGGTGGACATGAAACACTGTACTAAGCGTGGCCAGCACTGCACTCGACTGCAGGCTTCTTCCCCCAATTATAATGTTAGGTTGGGTTGGGTTGGGTTAGGTTAGGTTAGGTTAGGTTAGGTTAGGTTAGGTTAGGTTAGGTTAGGTTAGGTTAGGTTAGGCTAGGCTAGGCTAGGCTAGGTACGGTACCCATTTACAATTAAGTGGAATTAGAGTGCCTTGGGATTGAACCAATGAGACTTGCGCCCGGAGTTTTAAACACCCTCTTCCGTTGAGGACGGTCGTCGTGTCAACCCAAGTTACAAACAAAAATTAGTCCCAAGTACACCGCAGTACAGTACTTGACGGGGTGGTGTGGTGGTAAAAGGAACTAATTCCAATATTATAAATTAATTTTATTGGAATTAGTTGAAACACGACGACCCTCCTCAACGGAAGGTGTTTAAAACTCCGGGCGTTAGGGCGGGAGGCGTGCACTCCCCAGCCGCTTTACCCACTCATAATATAAGTAGTGAAAATAAAATCACAAAGATAAGCCACCGCAGGAATAGGTAATGATATAAAATTCCATAGCTAAATATATCCAGATTTAATTATAAATAACACAAGGCTAATAATACTCATTATAATATAATTAATCCGGATAAAAATTACCAAGATAAAATTACTGTATTGATAAAGGAGATAAAAAAGAAAATCACAAATTATAGAGTAAAAGTAAACTCACTTAAAAAATACAAATAAGGAATAAATCCCCGACACGAGAGAGAGAGAGAGAGAGAGAGAGAGAGTTGTGGATGTGTTGGTGGGGGAGGGAGAGAATGCAGGGGGGAGAGAAGTTAGGAGGAAGATGGAGGGAGGAGAAGAGGGAGAGAATGAAGGTAATGTGGATTGGGGAAGGAAGGAAGGAAGGTGGGTGGGTGGGTATGAGAGATGAGTTATTTTAACAACTTTATTCTCCAGAATGGGATACAATTTTGCCTCTACTCAGCAGTTCAGTCAGGTCTTGGCACTTGGGAGGCTGCTAGTGTTTACTGGTACTCACGACGGAGGGAGGGTTGCTTACTTTCCACATTCTCTCTCTCTCTCTCTCTCTCTCTCTCTCTCTCTCTCTCTCTCTCTAAATAATGATATTAATAATAAATCATAACATAATCTGTTACGCCACGTTAAGTCATTATAAAATATGAGGTGTAATATTTGAGAGGACGCTTGGCTGGCGATGGATGATGGAGGGGGTGTGAGGTTTGTATAGTATGAGGAGGTAGATAGTGTGGTGTTGTGTGATGGTCTGGGAAATATACTTGGAATTACTTTTTTTTTTTTTTTACGTGTTCAAAGTTTTGTCATTTGTTATAAATTGATCTTGTTCGTTAGTTCATCTTTTAACTATCCACACTTTATTCTCGAGTCCATTCTTGCATCATCAGCTGTAAAACTATGGTGGAATAATATTTGTTATAATCCTAGTGGTGTGATGATGGGCGTTTGGAATAGCTTAATTCAATCTTCCGTTTGTTTATCCACGTTTTCTTTGCTGTTACCTGTGACTTACATATTTTCGTAGCTACATGGGATACTAAGGCAGGTTGATGTGTCTTTTGTAAGGTTATAGTATTTGGCACTGATCTTGTTTCAAATGCTTTCTAGTTCCTTCACTTTTTTTATCCAGATCTTGACAAATCACTTGTACCTATCACGATCTGTCTGTCACTCACCACTTGCGTCACCCCTCGTTGGACTACACCACCGAGGGACCTTGGCATTAAAATATTTAGGTGGATGCTGTTAGTTATATGTAACAGGCAGTGACAGGACATGAACTGAAACCGAACCACCCAGCTCCGGAACCTCCCGTTGCGTCCTGTGTGTGTGTTGGTTTACGATAGGTTACACACCCACGTAGTAACCTGGGGCGTATAATTGTGGCGCCACTCCTAATAGGTCTAGATTCTTATTTACCTTCAATCCTGATTGGCTCTTGTTCTAATGATTAGGGACCTGTTTATGACTGGGGCCCGTTTATGACTGGGGTCCATTTATAACTGGGGTCCGTTTATGACTGGGGTCTGTTTATGACTGGGGTCCATTTATAACTGGGGTCCGTTTATGACTGGGGTCTGTTTGAGACTGGGACCATTGATCTGCAGTCATAATTATTTATCGTGTCATGAAACGCAACACACCCAGTTGTATCAGACAAACTGTGCTGTATGTCTGCTGTTATATCTTCTTGATGTATTATATGGGTATAGCGCTCGCCCCCTGTTGTAAGGGTCACCGGTTCGATCCCGGGGTAGTCCTTGTCTATCCATTATTAAAGGGGTACTGTACCTAACTCTGCAATTTGGGGAGGCGAAGGCGGTCGAGTGCAGTGTAAGCAACGCTGCCTCTTGTGACACCAAAGGCATAGTATACTTGTGTTATATCCACATAGTCCCGAACGGCCCATCAATGCCTTTCACAATTATGTATCTTTTGTTTCCTGAAATCTATAATAACTAATTGTTGAAAAAATATTGTTGAGTTATTATATTACACAGGAAAATATATATTATTATTGAACAGGGAACAGATGTTATTATACGAGGCCTGACAACATGTTCTCGAGGTTAAGAACTTTATATTTTCTCTAAAGAGGATAGTTTACAACACGTCTCATCGGCTCTTTTAAACTTTAACACAACAATTTACCCAACATGACGTTAAATCAACACTGTAACTTTTCTGTAACGAGATTTTTTTTTTAATTCTCAGTCTGGTTAAGAGAAAATGATAAACGTTTCTTTTTTTTCACAATTGGGACCCAGAGTATTGACCAGGGGCGGGAGGTTAATATTTCTCGGTGTCATCGTGGCTTTGTGCAGGAGTCGAACCCACGACCTCTTGATAAACGAAGAACGACTTCTGGAGAATACGTTGGTTAGACTACTCAACGAGGATGGTTAACGACTCAACGAGGATAGAGTAACCCACG